AATGGTTGCATCACCCACATTACAATTTGAAAATAATTTCTATTTAAAGGGTAATTCAGACAACATCCGCCCCAAATCTCCTATTAAGCCGTCGTGTTGAATTATTATAATGGAGTATTACACTCTGATAATGTGCGGCAGAAGCCCAAAGAAGCCTATGGGGAGCTCAGCCATCAGGTTGTAGTGCATGAACCTGCAAATTTAAATAGAAGGTGAAAATAAAGTTAGATTATAATAAATTGTATATCTCATTTTCCCAAGCCTTTCCTTTGACTTTAACAAATTAAAAATTATACCCAATTAACTATAATACTCTAAATTAACTTCACACCTGCATCTTATCCGATTGCAATACATGCGGCTCTATTGTAGGTACCGTGATAAAGAACTGCCATTTGCAGTGAACTTACAAAAATCGCAGTTCCCGGGCATGACTGAAAGTCGTGCTGGTGACATTTTGTATTTTATTGCCAAAGATACTTCTGTAAAAAGTAATAACATAATTATTAACTAGCAGATGGTAATCAGGGTCTTGCATTGTCTGATTCTTAAAAATTACACCTGAATTTGCCGTCGGAACTATCATAGTTCTCCACTATGTTTGTTTGCTTTTTTGATAATATCCATCTTTGCTCAATAAAACCATGTTTATAGCAAGCCGCCTTTTTTTCGTCAAGAAAGTAGATAGTAATAAAATTTCGCCGTTGAGCATTACAATTTACACCACGCCTGTTGGAGATCATGTAAACATTTTCAAAAAAGAATTCCATATTGTGCATCTTTCTGTTATGTACATTTTCATCTTTTAAAACAATTTAAGAAATTGTTTCGTATGTTTTCAGCTGTACTCACAGGCCCTTGAGGTCCTTAACGCCCTCGAAAATCTTGTCAGGCAAAGCCTCGATTCTGTTCTCCGAGAGGTGTCTTAAACAGGTGAGGGGGAATTTAAATTGATATACAAGTAACATAGCATAACTAGGCATGGCACATCTAATTTAAACAGCAAAACTGACATCAAAATTATACCACAATTATATCGATCTGATGACAAAGATTGTGATCCATTTATTATAGAGGCTATTACTAATAGAGGATACTAACTATATTTACTAAGGTGTTCCCTATTATGGCTCCTGATTTTCTATTCCAACTAATATCTGTGCGAATTAATTCCCTGAGAAAATTAATCGCATGGCCGTTTTAATCCAAACCTTTGCAACTAAACTCAATATTTATAGACTCAGCTAAATTGAAGCCATTTTTTTCTTTGTTCAAAAAAGTTCTTTTCCTTTCAAGTTAACTTTATCATTGCGGCTCTATAATCTGAAGGACGAATATGAACAAAAATCTCAGTGCACTTGAGCCGTTTATCGCGTAAACGTTAGAAAGAAAAACCTTGATAATATATGATTATCATGCGCTTCTTTGGGTTTCATCTCTCTCCATATAAATATGGCTAATTTGTAAACATTTTCTTGTCAACTTTTATTCACTGAATGAGTTTTTTTTTAATACATATGAATGGGCTGGTTCTAAAATAGGCTTTAGATTGCAACAGATCATAATGAAAAATTAACGTTTGAAATCTAGATGTACTCACAACTCGAACAACTTCACTAAGCCCTGAAATTGATCTTCATGAAGCCTCTCAATTTTGTTGTATTCCATTTTTCTGAAAAAGCGCGGTGCAGATGTTAGACTGAAATACACACATGAAGGAATATCTTTAAATCTACTTTTGTCTTAATTATCTTCTGAATTTACTGCCGCACAATTAGCTCCCGGGTTTGATATTTGAATATCACAGAAAAAAAGAAAACATCAGACCCACATGAAACTTTCATGCTCTCAGGCTAGAGAAACTTTAGATTTTATTACCAAAAACCTCTGCTTCAGGTCTGTTGTTTAAAGCTGAGTTTGAAAAATCGTAAGTAAGGTATTGCACATTTTAAAAAATTTATTTAGGTTGCTTTAGTATCTAAGTCAACAAATTAAAAGCCTCTGTCGCAAAATATAATTGCAAGACAAAAAAGATTTAGCAGCTTAAAATAAATAAGAAATGTAAATTGCTATAAACTAGGAAGCCGATTTACTCACTTATTGCTGTTATTGCAAGGTAATTCTTAGAGACAGCTTTTTTTATTAATCTTAACTCAAAGAGAATCTCACTTACAGAAATCTCACAGCTGTAATGTTTTTAAAGATGTATGGCGGTAGATTTCCAAGTTCATTATTTGACAAATCCCTAGAATGTAATAATAACCGTAGTTACGAATCTATTATCATGAAATTACCAATACTGATTCATAGAATAAAAAATATTGGCTGCTTTTGAAGAACAACTGTTCATAAAATAATGTTTGCCTCCGCAGTAGTTTCCAGTTTAATGTATCTATTTTGAGTTCCTTAGCTATCTGGAGGGACATTAGAGATGGTTAATTTTTTTCAAAATCCGGCAACAAAACGCTGGTTATGACACTATCAAGAAACGATATAGTGCGGACCAAAAGAGCATAAGATAATCCGTGAATATTTTCTAGGAAAAAATATCATACAGAAAGCTTTTTTCATACAAAATGGAAAAATTGATTATAATATACTAAATACTAAATATACTATTTATACTTAATACTCTCACGA